GTGGGTGGGGTCCGGCTGCCTGCAGGCCAGAGGCTCCCGCCTCTAAGGAGCTATATGGACGACATCACCTGCCTGCTACGAACCGCCCCATGCACATCCAGGCTGCTTAAGAGGCTGGATGAGTTAATCACTTGGGCCAGGATGAAGTTCAAGCCGCAGAAGTCAAGGAGCCTCTCATTGCGTAAGGGGGAGAGAAATGACAGGGTCACCTTCACCATCAGCGGGGAAGACATCCCCCGCATCGTGGATCAGCCCATCCGAAGCCTGGGAAGACTTTATACATCTGGTCTCTCAGACAAGAATATGGGGAAAATCATCCTTCGGCAGCTGTCAGAAGGCCTGTCTAAGATCGATGCAAGCCAGCTACCTGGAAAGTACAAGGTGTGGTGTTATCACTTCACCCTGTACCCAAGGGTGATGTGGCCCCTGAAGCTGTGCGAAGTCACCTCATCCGCCGTAAGCCAGATGGAAGCAAAAGCCAACACCTTCATCCGCAAATGGCTCGGTCTACCACGGTGCTTCTCAGCTGCTGGTCTGTATGGATGGAACTCACTCCAGTTACCCCTGAAATCCATCACCCTGGGCTACAGGCAGGAGAAGGCAAGGCTGGTGATGGAATTAATGGACTCCTCCGACAGGGCAGTGGCTGATGCAAATGTCAGAGTTGAAACTGGAAGGAAATGGAGGGCTAAGGAGGAGGTACAGAAGGTCATGGGAAGACTGCAACATCGAGAAGTCGTGGGCATGGTTCAGACAGGGCGGGCAGGCCTCGGATGGAGCGAGCCACCTATCCTATGGTCCAAGGCAAGCAGGAAGGAGAGGAAGGAGCTTGTTGTTGCAGAGGTCACTAGAATTGAGCAGGAGGAGCTCAGAGTGAGGTCTGTGGCACAGGGGCAGCAGGGGCGGTGGACAACTTGGGAGGGTGTCGCAAGCCGAGCAATCAGCTGGGCAGAGTTCTGGAAACTGCCACAGGCTCGGCTCAGTTTCCTCATTAGGGCAACATACGACACACTCCCAAGCCCTAAAAACCTCCACCAATGGCTTGAAATAGAGCAATCTTGTGACCTCTGCGGGACCATCAATGCCTCACTCCAGCATGTTCTGTCAGGCTGCAAAACAGCACTGACACAGGGTCGATTTAGATGGCGGCATGACCAAGTGCTCAGAAAGCTGGCCGAAGTGCTGGAGAAAAGTCGGCAGGAGGCAAACAACAAGAGTCCATCAGAGAGTCGATGCAGGATCCGCTTCCTCAGGCAGGGGGAACCCGCAACGCATACCAGTAAGAGACCACCTTCCAGGCTGTTAACACCAGGGGCAGAGTGGAAGATGGAAGTAGACCTGGAAAGGCAGCTCCAGTTCCCACAGGAGATATGCAGCACCACCTTAAGACCAGATGTGGTGCTGTGGGCTGCAGCTGTGAAGTCTGTGATACTGATCGAGCTGACAGTGCCATGGGAGGAGGGGCTGGAAGCAGCCTACGAGAGAAAGAAGGCGAAGTACGCAGATCTGGTCGCGGAGTGCAGAGAAAGTGGATGGGGTGCGAGGCTGTACCCGGTCGAGGTGGGAGCCAGAGGCTTTGTGGGCAGATCAACGTCACATCTGCTCAAGGACCTGGGGCTACGGGGAGCCACACTGAGTAGATCCACCAAAGAGCTCTCTGAAGAAGCTGAGAAAGCAAGCCACTGGCTCTGGCTGAAACGACGAGATAAGGCTTGGGGAGTAACATCTAATTAGGTTTTGCTGCAGGGGGTGACAGGGAGACGTCCTTGTTCACTGCCCCGCCACCAGGAGATGTTCTGGGCTAAGGGGCGAAACGTCAATGAGCGGTGGTCCCCAGCTGAAGACCCTGCAGCAAAACCTTGCGGTATGCAGTCAGGTCTAGGCCCGGCTCAGGGAAGAGGACGCCCCTGCCATGCACAGTCCACCACAGGCGCCGTTGGAGGTGCGACAGGCCTAAGGTCAAGCAGAAAGACCACCTCACTGTAATGAATATTGTACGTTATTGACAAATAGCTGCACTTGAAGATAGACAAATAGTAATAGACTGGTTTGCAAAGAGGAGAAATAATAATGCTAACAAAAACAGTGGTGGTGTCTCAATGGGCTATATGCACGCATAAGTTCCGCATTTGACGTAAGGATGCTCGTCCATTTCCGGTTGTGTAGATTAAAGCGGAGGAAAACCGGAGAAAACGGGATTATGGCAGAGTCTTCAATATTTACTGTCCTCCCGTCTTTGAAACGAAACGTACATACGTTTAGATGTAATTTTATATATAGTTATGTTTATTTAATATAATTTTAAAAAGAAGCATAAACACAACGAGGGGTGTCTGTTTTATCTGTTTTTGTGACTAACGTTTCATTAGTATAACCATGGAGTATAAAATTCAATATAAATTCTCGGTATTGCATTGGACTCTATGATCGGCGGAAGTTATCGAGCATCCTTAATCCTTCACCGGAAATAACGCCGTGCATAGAGCCCATAGTTTAGATATCAATCGTTTGAAACCGGGTAATGGTACGAATGTTTCAAGCCTTAAAGGGTTAGTTCACCCAAAAATGAAAATTAATTCATTAATTACTCACCCCCATGCTGTACCAACCCCGTAAGACCTCCGTTCGTCTTCGGAACACAAATGAAGATATTTTTGATTAAATTTAAGAGCTGTATAACTACCACATTGGCTCCTAAGGGACTGCCTCTTGACGGCCCAGAAAGTCAATGAAGAAAATGTTTAAATATCCCAAGTGACTACCGTGGCTCAACTATATGTATATCAAGCGACGCGAATACTTTTTGTGCGAAAAAACAACAAAAATAACGAGTTTATTCGACTATTTCTTTTCTTCCTTGTAGGCCAGAACGAGACTTCCTTAGATTTCCACGACGCATGCGCGAGAATTGCGATCTGAAGTAGTGTAAGCTGGTGTGAGCAGATCGCAAATCTCGCGCATGCGTCGTGGAAATCTAAGGAAGTCTCGTTCTGGCCTACAAGGAAGAAAAGAAATAGTCGAATAAACTCGTTATTTTTGTTTGTTTTTTCGCACAAAAAGTATTCGCGTCGCTTGATAAACATATAGTTGAGCCACGGTAGTCACTTGGGATATTTAAACATTTTCTTCATTGACTTTCTGGGCCGTCAAGAGGCAGTCCTTTAGGAGCCAATGTGGTAGTTATACAGCTCTCAAATTTAATCAAAAATATCTTCATTTGTGTTCCGAAGACGAACGAAGGTCTTACGGGGTTGGTACAGCATGGGGGTGAGTAATTAATGACTTAATTTTCATTTTTGGGTGAACTAACCCTTTAAGGATTTTTGAAGTTCGTTCCAATCGTTAAGCAGAGGAGAACTGAAAAGAAAGACGGCCAAAGGAAGTGCGAACGTTGGTGGTAGTTAATGAGATAAACCTACTTGAACGCAGGTTGCGAGAAGGACAGGTTACCGAAATGAGGTTTTTCAAGTAGGTAGGGCCTATGCCTAGAATGATTTTATAGATGAAATAAAACCAATGTCTTTGTCGTCGAATATGAAGGGAAGGCCAACCAATAAGTGTATAAAGTTTACAGTGGTGAGTACTAAATGGGATATTAGTAGCAAAACGTATAGCACTGTGATATAATACATCTAGCTTTCTCAGAAGAGTGTTAGAGGCAGATTTGTAAACCACATCGCCAAAATCTAAGATAGGCAGGATAGTCATATTCACAAGAGCGAGTTTAGCGGAGATTACGAAAAAGAAAGCCAATCCTGGATTTTATCTTAGATTGGAGTTTGCTAATGTGGGTGTGGAATGAGAGTGAAGAATCTAACCAAATACCAAGGTATTTGTAATTGTCAACGATTTCCAGTGCAACATAACACAGTCTCATCCCAAAAAGTCATATAACTGACATCTTGGGACGTATTTTGACCATACGTCAATATCCGCCTTTTTAGGGCCCCCTTAAACGTCGGTAGATGGCGATCCCGGGCCGTCTATACAACTGACGCTTTACCTTTAACGTCAGTTAGGTGACGGGTTAGGTTTAGGGTTAGGTTTAGGTCTGGGGTAGAGTTAGGATCCCATAACCTCATCTACCGACGTTTAAGGGGGCCCTAAAAAGGCGAATTTTGACGTATGGTCAAAAGACGTCCCAAAACGTCAGTTATATGACGTCTTGGGATGAGACCGGGTTGTGCAACACCATCCAGGGTTGAAATTTTTGTTGTATATTAAAGTGAAGAGGGAGATCGATTAAAGATCATACATTTTGTTTTGCTGGAGTTTAAATGTAGTTGGAGATCTCGGAATGAGTGCTGTATGCTATTGAAGCTCACTTGGGGGTTGTCTAACACAGTGTTCATAGATGGGCCACAGGTATAGTGAATAGTGTCGTCTGCATATAGATGCATAGAAGAGTCGCCTGCGGCCAAGGCCACGTCGCTAATATAGACAGAGAATAATATTGGGCCAAGAATTGAACCTTGTGGCACCCCCGTGGAGACAGCCAATGGACTAGATAGTAAGCCCCCTGATTTAACGCACTGAAATCTGTTTGTAAAATAATTAGTGAACCAGTCGAGGCAGTGATTTGAGAGACCCAAACAATAAGAATGGTGTGGTTGACAGAATCAAAAGCCTTGGCCAGGTCTACAAAAACTGCTGCACGGTAATGTTTGCGGTCTATAGCAGATATGATGTCGTTTGTAACTTTGAGTGCTAGGAAGCCCGATTGTAAATCAGAGAGACAGTGGTTTGAATCGAGATAATTAGTGATCTGCTTGTTGATAAGGCATTCAAAGACCTTGGAAAGACAAGGCAGAATAGAGATCGGTCTCGGTCTGTAACAGTTTGGATCTTGGTTTTCTCCTCCTTTAAAGATTGGGATTACAGCAGCGACTTTCCAGTCTTTCGGGATATAAGAAAGGTCGATAGAAAGATTAAAAATGGTATAGGTGAGGCTATAATAGAAGCTGCCAATTTAAAAAATAGAGGATCTAAATTGTTCTTACCTGGCTGGAATGTGCTGGATGAGTTTGGTCTGGCAGCATGGACATTCGCAGTCTTTTTCATCATCACTGGAGTATTCTGGGGGCTTGCAGCCTCTCCGTCTGCTTCTGAGTAACTCTGACTTTTAAGATAAGCAGGTTTTGGAGCCACGGGTGGTTTTTGAGTGACTGATGGATCCGTTGGTGGTTCTGGAGCATAATACAACAAATACACACATTCAGCGGTATACATTTGAGAAGCATTGATGCAGATAATGCTTATCTCACACAGTAAGATTTCAAAGTCACATTTCAAGGCGCTACATTGCGACTATTTCAGTCGCATTTGAGACGGAAAATTACTGTGTGCGACTGTGTCAAAAAATGTCACCGATGCAAGTGACCTGATTGAACCGACATGAATAATACAGTTGGCTGGTTTTCGGTCAACAGTGCAAGTGTGGAAAAGTTCAGAGATTGTTTTTGTGTAATTATGTTTGTGAAAATGTCTGGTAGATTTTAGTTTCATATTTCATGTTATGAATAGAAAGAGTTTAGCAAAAAAGGATTTAGTTGATACAGATATCTCAGTTTGTCCACCTCACCTGTGACCGGTGCTTGGGATTTCTTAGTAACTGGAGGTGTTGCAGGGGTCTGCTGAGGACGGGGATCTTTAGGTTTGGAAACGGGCATAGGTGAGGGTAAGAACTGCTTAGGGAGACCTTTGAAAAACCAGGCTCCAGATCGTTTCCATACCTTTAATGGAAAAATATGCAAGCAACATTTACAGACAGTTAGATTACTTCCTTATGATATTGTCATTTCCCTCACCTCTCTTTGTTCACCACAGATCTTGCATAGCCATACAGACCGTGGCCGAGTGTTAGTCTGCACTCCACACTTGGTGCACATGTTCTGATGGGAATAACAGGACATAGTTTTAGAAAAACAGACTAGAATTAACATGCAGTTCATTAAAACAGGTTAAAACTGCAACAAACAAAATAGAACTAGAAGAATAAAACTTATGTAGTACTAACTATTCAAAATTTGATTTAATGTTTTATAGAATCCCCCTGTATGTAGACAAATTGGCATGAAAAATACATTTCGAAAGACTATTGTGGCAAAGTCTGAGTGAAATGGCTTCTCGAATAAGAAAGAATGAACGGCAGGACTTGATTTTGTTCATCAAAAATGGGAATTGACTGGATAGTTTGATGGTTTGCTATTGGTTAATCTCATGTGAGTGACAGGTTGTCCCGCCCTTGCGTTAGAAAAATGTGTTGCTGCACTTGCTGTTAGTTAATTAGGATTTTGCATGTACAAAAACAGTGTAATATATAATCCCATAAGAATTCAAATGATTTGAAAGTGAGGTTTCATTTAAATGATTATCATTTTGATCAGTTTCTCACCTTTTTACAGTCCTCGCAGACCACTGATCTATCACCTCCTGCTCCCAGCTGCTCGCCACATAAAAGACAGCGTGACACTCCATCCCCACAAACTGCTTTTTTCATGGTGTCCAGACGATTCACCAGACGTCTGTCATAAATAACAGTATTCAACTGCATATGTATTGGTCAGTTAACATATACATTGCCCTATTTATGTTTTAAATACAAGGAAAAATAGGCTGCATGTTTTACTGTATCTGTCATTTTGAGTATATACAATAATCACACTTTTATTTAAAGCAATATTGTATGTATGCCACAATTATTGGTACTTCCTTCCTTGGTTTTCTCTATTTAATAAGTAATACTTCAAATACTGTAGTACTTCCTATAGAAAACATTGGAAGTCCTCTTTAAGTGTTTAAAAATTAAAGTTTAGATGTTGTGTGAATGAAAGACCAACAGAATAAACTGCCTGTTTTGATCATATCAAAGGTGCCAATATTAGTGGAGGATGCAGCATGTAATCTCGAGTCATAAATCTATCACACTTTAGATTTCTCTCAGGCTGTCCACAAATATCCATGTTGAACATTATAATTCAGTAATTCATTACCTTACAATATTACTGTCTCAGAATTGTAATGCGTTACATTACTCATGTATTACTTTTGAGTTACTTTCACCAAAATAACTACAGAAGTAGAACTTAACTTTTGGGCTGTAAGGATATGCAATATGAAACCGAAATCGCGATTCGCCACACGACTCAGATCCACGAACCTACAGAATCGCGACACTCTTCCAACTCCAGCGTTATTCTCCTTACCGTCCAGATCCAATGCTGCCTTATCTTTAAATTAGGCTATTAGTATTATTTGAAGTTAACATTATAAAATACGTAGACCTACACCACAAAACTAGTTGAGGATAAATCATTTAAAATTGGGGAAGTCCAGCATTATGGACATGACATTTGCAGTCAAAACTTGAAATAAAAATTCTGTATTTCAGAAAATACATATATTGAAACATATATAGGCTACTTCCTTAAAGGACTCCAGGCATTAGACAAATATCAGTCTGTTTTATTTTTCATATTAGCGAAAAGACACACATTCATGCGTGACACAAAAAAAAAATAGGAGGCAAAATATATTTTTTGTAATTCTGTTAATTACACTGCGCAAATCGGATGAGGAAGGGTTGGCTCTGCAGTCTCCATAGAACTTAAAATATTCATTTTATTTTAGTTTTCGTGTTCGCATTTATGAGGAAAAAACAATGTTACAGACGCGACCGCTCTGAACTGGCACTAAAAGACTGCTTTAAAACGTTCACATAGCCTGTTGCCTTTAAGAAGTAAAAGCAGACAATACACTGTAATACAACTGTAATACAAGCCTCACTGAACATGTAACAAGTAAAATATTACTGAAAATTGATTAGTAATGCCTTACACTACTGCGTTACAGCAAAAAGTAATATGTTACTGTAATGTATTACTTTTGTAATGCGTTACTCCCAACACTGCTAAAAGGTGACAGTGACAACAGTGTTTTGCTGTTCAGTAATGAACTCTTTCTTACCCAATCCTCTCTTGCTCCATTGCTTCCATCTTTTCTGCCCGGACAATTACACTGTTGATGATCTCCTTCTCTTCATCGGTCAGCTCAGCGCCAAGAGGCCCAGACTGCACGTGGACACCTTTTGTGCCCATCACAGCATCTGTCATTGTGAAATCACTGGAAACTGTGACACAAAAATAAATAATAGAAATGAAAATAATGAAATAATCCAAAAGTACTGTACAAAAATAAATTGACAACTCAGCAGTTTTAATTGGGGATTGTTTGCATTTTAAATGAGTGCAAAAAAGCCATCTTGTCTTCACTTTATCCAAGCACACCTTGTGTCTTTTTTTTTGCATAAAGTACATACATCATTCACCTGTCACATTTATTTTCATAGTAACATCGCAAGAAACACTTATTCAGTTTAGGGCTCTCAAAAATTACACATTATAGGCTACCCATTCAATATATAAATAATATTTAATTATGGATGTATTTGTGTGTGTGTGTTAAAGTATGGATGGTCATTTATTTGCATTTATGTAACCATGAAGGTCCTGTTGAGATACTGTATCTTTTCAACCAGGGAGTTGAAAATGGCAAGCAAAAAACATAAAATTGCAAAGAAGTACATAAAACCTCAGAATAAACAAAAACACCAAAATCGCACTTTAGAATACTGTGTCTCACTTACTGCATAACTAATAGGGAATTATTCATTGACTACTACTTCACTACTGTTACAGTAAAAGGACACTCCACCCAAAAATGAAAACTCTGTCATATTTTACTCACCCTCAAGTTGTTGCAAACTTGTATGAGTTTCTTTCTTCTGCTGAACACAAAGCAAGATATTTTGAAGAACGATTGGAACCAAACGGTTGTTTGGCACCATTGACTTCCATAGTAGAAAAAAAAAAAAAAAGAAAATACTATGGCAGTCAATGGTGACAAAGTTCCAATTGCTCTTCAAAATATCTTCCTTTGTGTTCAGCAGAAGAAAGAAACTCATTCCGGAAGAGAATTCAATGCTGAATAAAGTCGTAGTTTTTGTTATTTTTAGACCAAAATGTATTTTCGATGCTTCAAAACATTCTAACCCACTGATGTCACATGGACTACTTTAATGATGTCTTTATAACCTTTCTGGACAAGGACGGTATACCTTGCATACATTTTTTAATGGAGGGAGATAGCTCTCGGAATAAATCAAAAATATCTTGTGTTCTGAAGATAAACGGAGGTCTTACGGGCTTGGAACGACATGAGGGCGAGTCATTAATGACATAATTTTCATTTTTGGGTGAACTAACCCTTTAATAGAAGTAGCCATTTAAATGTTTGCCTGTGGTTTTGTGAGTGTGTTCTGTAAGAAATCGACTTCAGAAAGGAACCCCACACAAGTGCTTTGCTATAACCTCAGATTAGTTTTATAATGTATATACAGTACACTCTAAAAAATGCTGGGTTGTTTTAACCCAACTTTGGGTCAAATATGGACTAACCCAGCCGTTGGGTTAAATTTTTACATTACATTTTTAACCCAACATTTTGGGTTTGTCCATATTTGACCCAAAATTGGGTTAAAACAACCCAGCATTTTTTAGAGTGTACAGTGTGTGTCTGGTGTCCTCAGCATAGAATGCCATTGAGTGAATTCATGTATTTGACGCAATAACTGAAATGAAACTGAAAATATAGGAAACTTATTTGTAATTAAGAAAGACTTATCAAATAATTATCCAGGAATTAGACAACTGATAACCTGAAACAGTATTCTAAAGTGAAAATATAAGGAAATTAATTGTTAATTAATAAAAAATTAGTTGATAATTCTTCAGGAATTACTTAGAACCTGAAACAGTATTCTAAAGTGAAAATATAATGACTATTTTAATGATTAATAAAGAATTACCACATACTTCTGAATAAAATCAAACTTACTAAAAAAAAGAACACTGAATGTAATGTACATTATGATAAGTTTTGCTAATGAAATAAAAAGTTATTTGCAGATCAAGTAAATGTCTGCACTTATCTTTCTTATTAGAGCGGCAGAATGACTAAAGAAATTGCTTTTTACTTTTCAAGTACTTTAAAAAAAATTTATTAACTTTGTTCTTTTACTATGGTAATTTTGAAAATGAATAGGCCTAATCATAATTTTACTGCAGTAATATTTTAAAGTGGTATCTGTACTTGATTTGTGTACTTCATTCACCACTCCACTGCTAAAATAAAATGGATTATTACGTAACTACTTTGTATGACTGTTCATTAGTAGTTCCTTCATATTATTTATTATTTTTTAATAAAGAATTACCTACTAGTTCTTCGGTAATTCCTTATTAGTTATGCAGTAAGAGACAGTATTCTTACAGTAAGTGTTACCCCAAAATCTAATTACCAATGCAAAACACATACAAACATTGAGATTTAAAAATATTTTTAAACATTTTATTTACAGAAGAATTATACTTAACTCAAACTCCTCTAATATGCAGACTCAAATTTCATCTGTTGGTGACACTACAGGGTTTTTGAATGAACACATTTTGTCAAGAGAAGAGAATTCCAGCAGATATCACCTGCGCAGTGAGTAGGGAGCAGTGAACACTGCGCAGGGACCCTGTGAATCGGAATGCAGCTCAGGTCTTGAAGTCTCTGCTGATGAGTTGAATCAGATGTGCTAGATGTGGGAGAATTACAAAATGTGCATGGGTGCAGAGCCTCATTGAAATTTTAAGAAGCGCTAGAGGCTTGAAACTTTTGTTTAACTCAAATGTGTACCAAAATAATTCACTAATTTAGATAGATAGATAGATAGATAGATAGATAGATAGATAGATAGATAGATAGATAGATAGATAGATAGATAGATAGATAGATAGATAGATAGATAGATAGATAGATAGATAGATAGATAGATAGATAGATAGATATTTGTACCTCGGTGTTTTGTACCTTAAGAGACCAGTCTTGTACCTGTGGTGACAATTTTGTACCTTGGTCATGAACTGGCTTTTTAAATTGTATTATATTGTTGTCTGAGGTCAACTTATGACGTTCACTTGGTTTTTGCATTCAAAAACATCAAAATGAATAAGTAATAGGCTATTTTGTACCCTAGTTTTGAGCCTAGCTGAAAAATGCTCGGTTTTTATGGACGTCTCAGTCTCGCACTGAAGACTTGGAAGTAAATCAGTCTGCAAATCCAGTCTTGTTTACAAAAAAATCCTCAGTGAAATGAAGTGAACAGACGGACAATGTTTTACCTCATCAACTGGAACGTCATTAAAAATAAAGTTTATCCATGCAGTCCTACTGGAATCCAGAGGAAGCATTTGCAGCAACTGTCTTCTTCCACAACCAGGCACTGCACAATATTTTGTATTGCTCAGTATCTCGATCCGGTTTGTCATCACGAGGTAGATCCTTCTGATGGGGTTGTGTTTTATCCTCTTTGACGTCATAGTTCCCCACTTTGAAAAACGAGTCGTTTGCTGGGGCTGGTGTCAATAAAAGCTTATATTGGACTAACAAGGATGTTTTTAGTTCTGAAACTTACAGGATATTCTTATAAAATGATGACCTCTTAGATGTCAAAAGCTCAAGGAAAATTTGATTTCTCAATGTATCACTCCTTTAACAGTTCAAAATGGACCCTTTGTATGTATTTAGGCTATGCAATGCAAAAAAGATTCTGATGAAATACACTATAACAGTGAGAATCCGCCATTTGTATGTGTTGTTTTGTATTATAATGGTTTAATATCAGCAAATTGATGTACAAAAAAATATTTATTTTATTTCAAGGCTACTCAAATAGTGATAAGTTAAAATACTTAAATAATAAAGGTATCATTAAAACATTTAAACAACAACTTTAAAAAGGGGCTTAGCAGAGGCTGTCTCTTTTTGTACCTTAACCTTTGTACCTTAAGCACAAATGCTTGCCTTGACTCGAAGGGTCCTAGATAAGACCCTTATTCATCGTCTGGAGTTGTTTAAAGCCCTTTAAAGCTGCACTGAAACTCTCAATTGGATCTTGAACAGTTTGGTTCCCATTAAAGTCCATTATATTGAGAAAATCCTGGAATGTTTTCAAAAACCTTCATTTCTTTTCGACTGAAGAAAGAAAGACGTGGACATCTTGGATGACATGGGGGTGAGTAAATTATCAGCAAAAGTTTTTTTTTTTTTAAGTGAACAACTACTTTAAAACGTTTGTTCTTAAAAAGTCATTATTTTATGTATATATATATATATATATATATATATATATATATATATATAAACTTTTTACATTAGCATGATCATTTCAAGAGTATAGTCCACTTTCCTGCAAATATATTGTACATTGTATATTGTACATGTTCTTTTAATATCTAATGTATCTCATTTTATTTTCTTATTCCTATTATTATATGGACTTATATGAACCATTATGCATCCCAGCAAAAAGCAAAACATGTTGCAACTTTACTCAGTCTACCCTGTGCGCAATGAATCAATCTAAAAGGACAACTTTACTCGGTCTACCCTGAACGCAATGAATCAATCCATGTCTACACATAGCCTACATTTTTAATACGGTCTTTCCACATCACTGCTAATGCATCTTATAAATCATTTACCATGCTATTTCCTGATCATTTTCAAGTTTATTTTGAGAAGAGGTAAGTACACTACTAAAGACAACTCACATAGCAGTTAAATGATCTCATCAAACTATAGTATAGCATATATGCAGCAGTAGCCTATATTTTTGTACAGTCATTTGACTGCAAGAATCCACGCCTTCTGTGGACATTGAGTTTTACTGTAAGGGAAAATACTTAAATTATAATTCTCAAACATAAAATAGAAGTAGATTGATTCAGGGAAAATCATTTGAAAGCTCCACCCGAAAACAAGCCGAGTGAAAAATATAATATGCGATGAGTCTAACTGAAAACACTTATTTGGAGACGCCTGAAAGCGAGTGCCTGCTCATATACTCCTATTGATGGGGAGGAGGGGGGAACGATTGTATAGTAGTATTAATTTAATTCTCTAAAATGCACAGGAATATTGACTTCTGCCTTGCTGCGCAATAGGAGTCGAAGCGTTCGCTGATCATGTCTTTAGTACCATTAAAGCAGCTTCGAGTGAAAGCACCTGCATCTCACAACGTTAAACACAAGCAAACCCGCATCGAGATGACACACCTTACGCTTATCTTATAGAAGACAAAAGCATGTATAGGTTCTTACAGTCATACAGGATACGCATCCAGCGGCAGAAAGCTCATTTCTTAGATAAATTCTAATTTTTACAGCAAACCATTGTTCAGCCATCATGTCGATATCATTTTATGGTTACGAATGAATGTGGGCAGAATACATTCGTGCAGACTTTAACGGCGGTAATTTTGCTCAATTGCCATCTCATCCATGCAAATCAAAAGATACCATTGCATTTTTCTTTTATCACGCAGGATTTTTCTGTAGGCTATTAAATAAATCGCGAAAAAGTCAGGATTAAGGGGAGACCCAAATGCACAGAATGTGCATGTTTGTCGATTAGAAAATGCTGTCCTTGTTTCATGCGTTGGATTAACAGACATGTCTGAAATAAAGCTAAGTGAGAAAAATCATTTCGAAAATGTCTTGATGTCCTTACCTGATGATAACCGCCCACTCTTGGAGGAAGGCGACTGCAAACAATGCGGACTACAGTGCGGTCAGTAGTGAGAGGAATCAGCGGCTGCGCATAGAGAAGAGAGCGGGTCTAAACCAGAGGCATTAAAACGCATCAAAATCCACATACTCTTTTCCAGATTTTCCTTTCAGCAGACGCTTCTAAGCTTGCATGAAGATCTCTACTAGAAGAGAAAGATCCCAGCTAACACAAATATACGCTACCATTATTTCGGAATGTTCTCTGGAAAGTTTTAAATCACTTTTTAAAAAGTTATTTTTCCCATTGTTATTGGGAACGTTAAAGGAGAGTTCACCTAAAAAAAATAATTCTGTCTTCTTTTTTTTCTGTCAATAATTTACCTACCCTAAGTTGTTCCAAACCCTGTATTTCTTCTTCTAAACATAAACGAAGATATTTTGAAGAATGTTTACTTAGCCTACTAAACCGTTGTGAAGCAACATTGACTTCCACAGTATGGAAAAAAAAAAAAAATAGCCTACCATGAAGTCATCAATGGTGCCCCACAAACTATTTGGTTACCGACATTCTTCAAAATATGTTCTTTCTTGTTCAACAGAAGACAGAAACTGGCACAGGTTTGGAACAACTTGAGGGTGAGTAAATTCTAATAGAACTTTGTGTTTTTGGGAAAACTTATCCCTTTAAGGGAATATTCCAATTTTGCAAACATTATGGAGTAGCCTAATGTTCTCTGAACATTCAAAAAAGTAGTAACGTTTAAAAAATCAAACATTTTTAAAATCACTTCATTCCATGAACGATGTAGCCTATTATGTGCTAACGTTTTTGAGGTTGTTATAAAGGCCAGAACTTTGAACAAATGTTCAAAAAAATGTTCAAAAAATGTTCAAAACTTTGAACAAATGTTCTATTAATGTTACTGGAAGAACGTCTTAAAGACAGCTTGCCAGAACGTTATGGGAGCTTCTGGAGAATGTCCCCTGTTAGCTGGTTTGTCTTAAGAACAGTTTCACTCAGCTAAGTGTAACGGATGTGAAAGGACACTCACAAATGAATTCACACAAAACTTTAAATCAAAGGTCCTTTTAACCCTGTTGCATAAGCCTCCTTAAAGCTGCAGTCCGCAGTTTCCTCTGTAGCCATCTCTGTTTGAAATCTGCAATTGCAGTTATTCGCGGAATTATCAACTTTATGTGAGTTGTGCCTCGGCACGGAACGGCGCGGAAGAATGTGCCGCTGTCAGTCACTGCGCCGGTGTGGATACTGTCATTCAGAATCACAGATTTTACTTTTTGGATGTATGACCAACGTACATCCATAAGAATTTTTACTGGAAAATGTCACCTAAACAAGTAAGTAACATCCACTTTTGTTCTGACCAACTAAGGGAAAAAAGCATTGCAGTAAATCATGCTGATTAAATATAACAATTGCTTATCATATCACATAAAACCATGCAAATTATACTTTCTTCTTCATTGCTTGACTATATTTACTGCCCTACAGAAATTAGGGCAGTAAATATAGTCAAGTCACTCTTGGAGCGACGGACCGTCACTCCGTCGCTCCCCCTTTATGGCTCAGCCAACCCGATCTCACGACCAAGTCGTACGAATTCGACGAATGATTACAAAGTGGCTAATTCGTAACAATTCATACGACCTCACTCGTACGAATTAATACGATTTTGCTAAATCGTACATATTTTACGAATTGGCCAATTCGTATGAATTCGTACGAATGACCTACCCCTTACCCCGCCCCTAAACCTAACCATCACGTGGGTTTAGACAAATCGCACGAATTAGTACGAGTGAGGTCGTACGAATTAGTACGAATTAGCCACTTTTTAATCATGCGTCGAATTCGTACGAATTGGTCGTGAGATAGTGTTGGCTCAGCTCCTCCGTGAGAGATGCGAGACCGGTGTGCTTTGACATGGCCTTCCACCAGCTCTCGCCCCAGCAAAGCACCTTGGAGACCTACGCTCATTCTAGTGAATGATGTCACATTGTCTCGGACTTGGTGACTGCAGCGTCACTCTCCATCCGATACCTAGCTACGTTCCGAAGTCGCTTACACACAGGTTGATCCCTGCTTGCCTTATCTGCTGAGCCCTCAGCCTCGCATGATGCCGATGTTTAGAGTGATGTTGGCCCTGTAAGGGATTTGTGGATGTACGTGGATCACTAGGCAGCAGTCTGACAAAAGCAGCTGTTGTGTGCTTGGTGGATCATGGTATTAGGGACGTGCTGTAACGTTACATTTGACATGAGTCGATTTTATTTGCGTGAGCCCTGCACTGTGGCGGGATGTGTTTGTGAAATGAACACTGGGCTGTGGGCATTTTATTACACTCATGACATCATCGGCTGTGGCCGGAATACCAGAAAATACTACACTGCTTTTATGAATTTATCTGGGTCACCTTGGAAACGTCATTTGTGTGCAGGCAAGCGTCAACATCGGTCGTCGGGCACCCTTCCTCTTTTAGATCACGCCAGCGAGCGAAGCGAAAGCTGGACCACTGTTAATCCTCGTCCTGGCTTTTAATTTGTCAGCAAACTATGAAGAAACAAGTTGTTTCAACAAAAATACATCAAATGCGATGTGTCACGCAGGGAAATGTGGAAATGTCAATTTACGGATTTTTACTGTAAATTATACAACCCGGTCTCATCCCAAATCGTCATATAACTGACGTTTTGGGACGTCTTTTGACCATACGTCAATATTCGCCTTTTTAGGGCCCCCTTAAACGTCGGTAGATGAGGTTATGGGATCCTAACTCTACCCCATACCTAAACTTAACCCTAAACCTAACCCGTCACCTAACTGACGTTAAAGGTAAAGCGTCAGTTGTATGACGGCCCGGGATCGCCATCTACCGACGTTTAAGGGGGCCCTAAAAAGGCGGATATTGACGTATGGTCAAAATACGTCCCAAAACGTCAGTTATATGACGATTTGGGATGAGACTGTGTTAAATTATACAATGAGTTGTTCATTTTCACTTTGAAAACTGTAAATTTAATGGTATTTTACACTAAAATGACATGCAATTTACTATTAGATCTATCACAGTTATTTACTGTATAAAGTGAGGAAAGGTTCTGTTAACCAATTAGCAGATTTTCACTGTAGCATTTTTACAGTCTTTTACCGTTAAAATCACCATCTATTTTTCATCTCTATCTTTTAGAGTGTTGTTCTTCGATTATTCTGCATTTGTGTTTGTCTAATAAACTTACTGGATTCTCTCTCTCTGCCTTGTCCCCACTCATCATTGAGAAGTTTTTTTTTCATATTTTCCATTTTTATTTTATTTTTTCATTTTTATATTATTTTTAGATATATCTATTTTATAAATTTTTATTTAGTAGCCTATTAAGGTAGGCCTATTTTAGTTCCTCATGTTAAATTAAAATAAAAATGTTGCCTATAGTTTACTTGATTGATAAAACAAGAAATTAATAAAACAATGTAAAAGCCAAAGTCTCAATAAGGAATCTTGTTCTATTGCTTGGATTGAACTCAGGTCTGTTGATTTTCGAGTCACGTGACTAGTGTCGTTTCAGCTCCACATTAGTTACAAGTTTTAACCTGTAGATAACTCAAATTTCAGTTCGACATCTGTGAACAGACAGTCAAGAACCGGCAAAATAATTTCATTTTACAGATCATTCACAGAGCAAATTCTTCTTCATGCGGCGCCCTCATTGTGGACAGAAACAGACTGATGGTGATTATCTGCGTTTAACTGTTTTTCATTTAGCATCATTTTTTCTGCTATCAACGTCAATTAAACCCATTGAAAAACGATACGAGCTATAGGCTATTTATGACTTTTCTAGCTCTAAACAAAGCATAGAACTAAGCTAAATCTAAGCAATAATGTCATATCCCCAAGGTGCGCGTATCGGAAGTATATTTCTTGTTAAGTTTTTAGTAGTGGTTTGCTGTTGCAGTGCTGTATCACCAGAGAAACGTGCACCATTTTGCCTCCTCATCAAATCTGAACACGGGAGTTATCAGGTTAGTTTTCTCACTCACTCACTGGACACTTTAGCACCTCCGCTCTTTTACTGGAGCAAGTGGACATCAGAGAAACGCGTTGAAGATTGCTTCAGGAGTACCGACAGGACCCTGGTTACGCGTTATTTATCACTCTGCCGTGAGGAGCGCGCTTATGACAACGCCGAAAAGTTACCTTTCAGCTTCAACATAAGTGCGCTATTGGAAGATGCCAGGCTGTGTGAAATGAACTCATATTTCACTCTACTAAAAGAAGACGTCAACCAAGGCCAGACGACGGATTCAGGAGCAAAACGTCGCTATAAACGCGCATGGGTTTTACCGGGAACACTTTGGTGTGGACGAGGCACAAACGCCAATGACTATGAACAGTTGGGTAGGTCTGCATCCAGACTGTACGTTCCTATGCCTTCATTCACTCTTAAAAATAGTAGCTTATTGCCACACAAACGAAAACCTTTCTATTGCACAACCTTTTGTGAATTATTAAATATTCGTCACACTAAGAAAAAAGGGTAGGCTACTTTGTGTTAGGCTATACCTATATTAAAAGTGTTGTTCAGTTCACTTATAAAAAGTTTGTCTCTCAAACTTTAATAGGCGGTAGCCACATTCTTCTACAACAAATTAAACTTACTTAGACTTGCACAATTACAGATTATGTGAGTTATCAAATAGTTCTGTTGTAACAACCCGTTTAAACTACTGGGTTGAGTTGTAACACTAGCTTTTTCACAAACAAAAACTAGTAATAAGAACCATACTATCCAATGGTATAAATTTATTGAAGAACAATACTTAGTTTTGAATAAAGTAAACAATTTAAAAAAGTATTTCTTTTAGGACTTAATTTTAGCACAACAACTATTACGGTGTGTGTATACTGTATTCCTGTCACATAAATTCAGTAACATCTATTTTTATGTAAACTGAAATATCATACAAAAAAAAAAAAAACCCTGGATGGAAACACCAAGATGCGCATAAATTAAAAAAAATATGTACAACAAACTTCTGAGCTAAATTGAGGCAATGAAAACTACATCGGAAACACATTTAACATATAAATATCCCTTGATGCGCAACAAAAAACTCATGTGACTAGGACCTATCCCTAGCCCAAACAGCTATGACATGATATAACTGTTGTAACATGTGGGTTTGAAGTTAGCATGAATGCAAAACATCAAATTAAACTACAGAAATGGATAGTTTAGGTTATGAAAAATAATTGCATCAATGTCTTGACAAAAAAGTTCATTTCTTTCTTTCCTTTCTTTTTTTTTCTCTTTTTTTGGTCTGCTTCTCACAGTCACATACAGTACCACTTCTCCTGTGAACTCAAAAAGGAGATGGGAGTGTATGATATTTATGCCATCACCACATCTGTTTTCTGACCTGTCAAACTGACAATGTTAAATTGACACTGTGTTACAACACTCCCAGTCTCCCCCTACTAATGAACTCATTTTGTTGTTCATATTACAAGTACAAAATTTAGCATCCAGAAGTTTATTAATCACAAAATCTTTGATTTAATTGAAATAATTTATGATGATGCTGCTGGAGCTGTTGAGTGTATGAAATATTCTGTAACACTAAGTTAAGATGTATTAAAGGTACAAAGGCCTTAGAGCAGGGGTGTCAAACTCAGTTCCTGGAGGGACACTGTTCTTCAGAGTTCAGATCCAACCTTAATTAAACACAGCTAGACCAGCTAATCTAGGTCTTCAGGATTACTAGAAACCCAATTCTAATACTATCCATCCTAAATATTATTCGAAAATAGAATTAGTGTATCCCAAATCATTGTATGTTGAGTATTCCAAAGATACTCAGATGGTCTACTATTTCTGTTTAGAATTCGAAGTGCACATCGATGCACACTCTAAAGGCTAATATTGCCCACAACCCATTGCGAGTTGGACAAGGATTCGATTAGAACCACAAACACAAATAAAAAGTGTTGAAAAAACTACAAACATGATGGATGTGAGAGTCCATCGGTTAAGTACAGAGGTTTAGATAAAGGGCTTTGAGTGAATAATTATCAATATCTAACCTGACGAAAATCTATTTATTAAAATTTTCAATGACAAAGTAGAATGTCCCAAAGCTTGCATACTCTTCTGCTACACACTCAAAAGTATTTACTTTTTATTCACTAAAAGTGTACATACTTTTAGGGTGTAGTATAAGTAGGCGAACTGGGACCCGGCAATAGCCTTATTATTGGGAGATACGAGGGTCCATGGCTCTACCATTGGAGAAAAAGCAATGGCTAACTTGGATCATGTGTGCCTTGATAACCAATCATATTACAGCCTTGATGTCATTGAATTTCGTTCAGAGTTGTACGGCAGTCTAAGGGTGTTTCTCAAAAGGAAGGCTGCCTCCTACGAGACTGCGTACTTCCTAGTACTGTCCTTCTAAGGCTTATAGACTCCTCAGCAATTAAACGTTAGAATGAGACGGTCTAGTAAGTGTGTATGGCTATGTCACACATGTTTCCACCTCCACGGTCAATGCACGAAAATACTATTAAAACTTAATTTTGGAAAAAATACTTTTCTATTAATGCAGCCATGACGGCCATCTGCGGTCTCCCAGTGTCTTACATTATTGTCAGTTAAAGGGATAGTTCACTTTGAAGTTAATTTTTGGTATGTTTTAGCTTACCTCAAGAGCATCCAAGATGTAGGTGTCTTTGTTTCCACAGTATTTTCAATTTTGACATTTTTCAGTCAAACCGGTGTTGTCTGTCAGTCATATAATGCAGGTTTAGGGGGTCCACCTTAAAGGGTTAGTTCACTCAAAAATGAAAATTCTGTCAGTACTTACTCACCCTCATTGTTGTTCCAAACCTCTATGTGTTTATTTGTTCTGCTGAACACAAAGGAAGATATTTGGAAAAATGTTTTAATCAAACAGATCTCATTCCCTATTGACTACCATAGTATGTATTTTTTCCTACTATGGTAGTCAATGGGGATTGAGATCTGTTTGATTAAAACATTCTTCCAAATATTTTCCTATGTGTTGTTCAGCAGAACAAATAAACACTTAGAGGTTTGGAACAACATGAGGGTGAGTAAATACTGACAGAATTTTCATTTTTGGGTGAACTAACCCTTTAAAGAGCATGCACAGAGAAGTCAAAATTAAACATGATTTAATAACTTGTGAATGTAAATACACACTGATGGCCTAAGACACGAAACGAGCGGTTTGTGTGAGAAAACGAACAGTATTTATATAGTTTTTACCAGTAAACAGTATTTAATATGTTTAGTAAAAGGTAAAACTTCCGAAATCTCTGTGTAAACAATGCGTGACGTAGACGCACAAGAGATCACTTCCGGCGTAATGTTGGACACGGTTCATTTCTGTTAAGTTGGACATCTGATTCAGATCAGTTCGACGGCTGTTAACAAGAGGTAAAAACGATATAAATACTGTTCGTTTTCTCACACAAACCGCTCGTTTCATGTCTTAGGCCATCAATGTGTACTTACATTTACGAGTCATTAAATCATGTTTAATTTTGTGCATGCTCTTTAAGGTGGACCCCCTAAACCTGCATTATATGACTGACAGACAACAACGGTTTGACCGAAAAATGTCAAAATTGAAAATACTGTGGAAACAAAGACACCTACATCTTGGATGCTCTTGAGGTAAGCTAAAACATATCAAAAATTAATTTCAAAGTGAACTATCCCTTTAATGTTAGCTATTAATTTACAGCAAAACAAAAGATAACATCTATGCTTTCACGTCCTTTCATGTTTCATTTCATAATAAACTCAGACAAGCTCAGTACCGACTCATTTTCCATCGGTTATTTTTATTTCAATTAAATGTGTGCAAAGGATTGTGGGTGATTCAAGTCAACGAAGGATACATCCGACGCATCCTTAAAAACAGGGCGAATGAAGGAAGTAAAACGAAGGCTGCCTTCCAAGGATCCTTCAAATTGAGATGGCCTTCAGCGACATTTGATGATGATGTGGCAGCCGAGATATGCAGTCTTCGTAGGATGTAGCATTTCCGTTTGAGAAACACCCAATCACTGTTTGCTGATACCATATAAATGAACGAGAAATGCCGTAAACTAAATCACACCTGTCACAGCAGGTATGATTTTTTTTTTTTTTTCGGTGTAAAAATAGATCAATCCAAAATTAATGTTTAAGAACAAACATGTTGAAGATTAACCGATAGGCTGTCGAGTCTTTTCGCTTTTTATATATATATACATATGAATGTTATCGGCATGAAAAAAAACTGTATTTTTGTTATTTGGTACTACATATTAAGGAGTTTTCCTGAGAGCGATGCATCAAAATGCAGTTTTCACACCAGGGTCATGGGTGGTTGTGGCTGACTATCTGTGAATGTATGGCATGTCCTTGAAAAGACATGGGAGGTCCCTGCAACATAACCTGGTTATTACAGTTAATACTAGCTATGTTGTGTGTCAGTAAATCAATATAATTACAGAGGGTGTTATACATGACAGTCAAGAACGGAAGAGTTACTGTGCAACACAACGCAAAACAGAAATGTGTCCTGCGTTACAAGTTGTATTCTACATAATAATCTACATAATAATGAGGACAGTATTATTTTATAATCTTGTAAATAATCTATATTTGTTATTTGATTATTTAGACTACATTTTTCTTCTCTTATCAGGTATGTTTGAGCACGCGGATAGATGTTGCCGAGAACATGATCACTGTGAGCACATCATACGCTCTTTCTCTGTGAACTATGGTGTCTTCAATCCCACCCTCTTCACGGTCTCCCACTGTGACTGTGACCACAGGTGAGAACATAAGCTCTGGGGTCTTTCACATTCCACAGATACGAGGCATTTTCAGATCCTCAGGGGAGACTCTTTAGAGTCATAACTCATCCTTTCTGTTTGTTCACCTCATGTATGTTAGCCTTATATGGCTTGTATGAGTTTTTTAGGACACTGCATGTTTTATTAGATAAAGAATATATATCTTCAGCAGGACAGCCTGTAATTTATGTAGAAAGACCTTTTTCTTTTGATATGCAACACACAAAAAAAAATTTTTTGTCTCAAAAAATTAACACAGGCATCTTCTTGGAGTATGACAACTAAAACACACATTTTAAGTTAAATAAAAGTCATTAATTACTCACCCCCATGCTGTACCAACCCCGTAAGACCTTTGTTCATCTTCGGAACACAAATGAAGATATTTCTTATTAAAAGGATACTCCACTTTTTTTGGAAATAGGCTCATTTTACAACTCCCCCAGAGTTAAACAGTTGAGTTTTACCGTTTTCAAATCCATTCAGTCGATTTTCTGATGTTTAGAAGAATTTCAGTAACCAGACAGTTTCTGTTCTCATTGACTTCCTACTATGGAAGTCAATGAGACCAGAAACTGTTTGGTTACTGATATTCTACTGGTATCCCTTTAAATTTGAGAGGTGGATCACTGCTACATAGGCTCCTAAGGGATTGAAACTTGACGGCCCAGAAAGTCATTGAAGAAAATGTTTAAATATTCCATGTGACTAGAGTGGCTCAACTATAAGTTTATAAGGCCTGAGACGAGATTTCAAGAGATTTCCACGACGCATGCGTGAGAACTGAACAAGAAGTAGTAGAAGAAGAACGTCCTCTTCTCAGTTTCCGCGAATGCGTCGTGGAAATCTCTTGAACTCTCGTCTCAGGCCCACAAGGAAGAAAAGGAATAGTCGAATAAAGTCATTATTATTGTTCGTTTTTCCCACACAAAAAGTATTGTCGTCGCTTGATAAACTTATAGTTGAGCCACTTTAGTCACATGGAATATTTAAACATTTTCTTCAATGACTTTCTGGGCCGTCAAGTTTCAATCCCTAAGGGTGCCTATGTGGAAGTGATCCAGCTCTCAAATTTAATAAAAAAATATCTACATTTGTGTTCCGAAGATGAACGGAGGTGAACTATCCCTTTAACCTAACAGGTCACGACACAAAATAACACTACATTTCATAATTTATTCTACTTATCATATGCAAAGCATGCTGGAAACTTAAAATCCACAGACAATTCCTGTGTTGCATTAAGTTGACTTGCATTTTTTGCAGTTTAAATGAAAAATAAAAAAATATTAAATTGATGTAGTTATCAACAAATTGTCTACATAACTCATCTAAAAATCAATACAATCAAATTACATTTTAGTTCAATTAATAAATTTGAACCATGCATTTATTTAAAATGTTTTTTTTTAGATTGAATTAGTTTGCCGGTTTAGTCATTGGTTCAATTCCAAGGGAACACGCATACTGATAAAATGTACGTTCTGAAAGTTGCTTTAAATAAAAGAAAAATCCTAAATTCTTAAATATTCATTGAGCATGTATTTATTGGAAGGGTTAGCTGACACTGAGACACAAAAGAGAGATATCATGTAAATTTTCATGCAAAAATATGTATATCTGTCTTGTATCTTCCTGTCTCTGTTAGATTTAAACAATGCCTTCTCAATGGTAATGACACCATCTCCAACATGGTGGGCTACAGTTTTTTCAACGTCCTAAAACTCCGCTGCTTTGAGATGATTCAAAGGAGGCAATGCACACAGTACAACTGGTTTGGAATGTGAGTGCAAGAGATGAAATAATGTATTTCAAAAATGTTGCTTCATGCTTCTGTTTGCAAGCAAAAAGATGCAGAATGGATACAAATACTGTAATTGTATATATAATTATATAATTCACACAGCTGTCTACATTGACATAATTTGTATGGCATCATTATAGTATGTTCATTCATAGTCTTTAATAGATTTTTAGCCTGTTATTGCAGTTTCTGTGTTAAATGTCAATCCTGTAACAATTTACAAAGTTTACTGGACTCATTGTCCTAGACTGTCTCCAATATATACTTATATTTGTTTGGACAATCCTTTATAATCATGGTTTTATATTCTAGGATGAGTTTCTCTGTAATAGCATTGTGCCAGAGGTGGGAGTAAGTTACCCACATTGAAGTCATAAGAAAAGAAGTCATCGAGTCAAGTCTCAAGTTGCAGTGCACAAAATAAAACAACTCAAGGCTATGGCTCACCTCAAGCAAGTCATGTTGAGTCCTGCGAAGAAAGTCACTCTCAAAGTACCATGCAGAGGTTACTTTTCACAAGCAGTTATGAACTCCCTGAATAACACAGATCTGAGAATGATCTGATCTGAGATCAAAAATAATACCTCTCTAAAACAATTTTAGAGTAATTCACCAAGTTTAATGTGTTAAAGAAGTTTTTTTTTCTGTTATGCTTGCACTAATTGACAGCGCAGCTTGAAACCCTGGTTGAAAATCCAGGTCTTGTTTCCTCAGCCATTTTCCATTTCCTAACTTTTTGTAGTGAATCACTTTTGACAAAAATGTTGACAGCAGTTTGTTTAGTATTGTACTCTAGCCCAGAGTAACATTATGCTGGTGGAACTGATTTTCAATCTCTCACTGCAGGTGCACAATGGTCCAGCTCGCACCTGTGGCAGTATTGAAAGATTCGACACCATACAATTCCACCAATCTAAGTAATGAGAAAAGTGGCACCGTTGACCTTCCATGCAATGAAGTACCAATCAAATTGTCATATAGTAGCAAACAAAGAACCTCTAAATCTAAACGGATTAGACTGACAAAAGATCAAAGAAACTGCGCTCCAGTTGACTATGCAAAAGAGGGAACATTTCAGCTAAGTCAAAAGTTGGTGAACCCATTTGAAAAACGGAAGAATCTACAAACAGCTGGACGTCGAAAAGGAAGAAAAACTGTGCAGCCAAACTCATTGTTGACATTTACCCTCGCTCCCCAAAGGAAGGCATCTGAAGAGAAGCAAATGATAACTCAAAAGTTCAAAATGGGAACTATTCTTCAAAGCACCCACAGGACATCAAAAGCAAGTGTCACTCACTCACCTTCAACCTCATCTGAAAGGAAATTACTCTTGGTTCAAAAGACGATGGTCATTAAGTCCAAACAAAGATCTGCAACTAAATCAGGAGCAAGGACACTTCAAAAAGAGAGAAAAAGAGGTAAAAACAAAACCCAGAAATCCAGAAAGAGCCAGAAGAAAAAGCTAATTGAAATCCAAAAGCAATGATAATCACTTTCAATCATCAGAAATAAGAGATCTTTAATCAGGTATTAGATTAAATTATGTGTGACATGAGAAGGGCTTTTCACACTGCGCTTTACCCTGGGTTATTGTCATTCTAAACCCTGCTTCTAACCCTGGTTTAAAGGAGTAGTTCACTTTTCAAAAAACTTTTGCTGATAATTTACTCACCCCCATGTCATCCAAGATGTCCACGTCTTTCTTTCTTCAGTCGAAAAGAAATTAAGCATTTTTCTCCAAATAATGCACTTCAAACTGCAAACTGTTCAAAGGGCTTTAAATGATTCCAGACGATGAATAAGGGTCTTATCAAGCGAAACGATTGCTCATTTAATAAATAATAACAAAGTTTAAGTTTTAAAAGCTCAAATGGTCGCCTTGCTCTGTTCTGTGATGCGCGTTCGTGACTCTCCTGTTCGAACTCGTCTATCTTAAAAATGAACAAATCTTTTCCCAAGTCAACTCGTTCATTTCGTTGAATGAACCAAATGACACGAAAAAAGATTCGTTCATTTTGATAAACGGGTTCGAACAGGAGAGTCACAAACGCGCATCACAGAACAGAGCAAGGCGACCATTTGAGCTTATACAACTTAAACTTTGTTATTTATTAAATCAGCGATCATTTCACTTGATAAGACCCTGATTCATCGTCTGGAATCGTTTAAAGCCCTTTGAACAGTTTGCAGTTTGCACTGAAATTGTCATTTGGAACTTGAACCTTTTGGTTCCCACTGAAGTGCATTATATGGAAAAAAATGCTGGAATGTTTTCTTTAAAAACCTTAATTTCTTTTCGACTGAAGAAAGAATGACATGGACATCTTGGATGACATGGAGGTGAGTAAATTATCAGCAAAAGTTTTTTCAAAAGTGAACTACTCCTTTAAGGAATGTTTCACGCTTGTAATTTAAAATCGGGGTTAGCTTTTTACGTCACCATGGAAACAATAAAGTGATACGTCGCCTTGAAAAAACTTGTGCTTGGGGGTCAGCTAGAATATTTGAAACTTATGTGTGAAAAGCATAGGTGTAATTTGCAGTTGGGACATCTCCCCATCACTTTTGAAACATCTCGTTTCTCATCTCATTCATTTTGTTCATTTGTTAAATAAGAGGTGATCTAGCGCTGAAATGCATTTTTTATTTATTTATTTTTTATCAAGTTATCAAAATGCTCATTGCTGCTGCAATCAGTAGCGCGGATACTGTGTTCTCTTGTAGCTCACGCACAGTCTTCACTCGGACACGCGCTTCAATCTGTTGTGGAGACTCTACATTCGTTTCAGTGAAATTGAAAAACAAAATATACACAAACGTGTCCCTGCCTGATATGCAACAACTGATAAACTAACACAGTCTCATCCCAAAAAGTCATATAACTGACGTTTTGGGACGTATTTTGACCATACGTCAATATCCGCCTTTTTAGGGCCCCCTTAAACGTCGGTAGATGGCGATCCCGGGCCGTCATACAACTGACGCTTTACCTTTAACGTCAGTTAGGTGACGGGTTAGGTTTAGGGTTAGGTTTAGGTATGGGGTAGAGTTAGGATCCCATAACCTCATCTACCGACGTTTAAGGGGGCCCTAAAAAGGCGAATATTGACGTATGGTCAAAAGACGTCCCAAAACGTCAGTTCTATGACGTCTTGGGGTGAGACCGTGTTGGATAAACATAATCGGTTTTGATGAGAAGAAAAAACCCTATGCGAGTGCGGATTAGAACCCAGGACCTCTGACACGCTAGGCAAAAGTTTTGCCACTAGACCATTAGAATACACACTTCAAATTTGTCAAATCTCTGTATTTATTCTCGCCGTTAGCAAGACACACATACATAGACAGTATAAGAAGTGGACAGAGCCATCTCATTGGAACTCCATTGAGACAAGTAAGCCCATTTTTAGCGATTTTTTAGGACTTCCATTCCTGACGCGCAGACTCAAACCAACTCAAACAGAGCTTGACGACGTAGATGTGACGTGAGCAACCCATCTGTCTTCTAGTGGCTGTGTCATGAGAAATCTGAATCATTCCCTTTCGAAACATGCAGAGGCGGAGAGTTTGAGTAGGAGCTGTCCATGCGCCAGGAGCAGGAGAATCTTGTTCTAGGTATTCTGATTAATTATTTTGTCATTTTGCCTCCACGTTTCCCCGATTGCGCGCGAGCTTCTCCTCCTGTCCATACGGTAATCTCTCTACTGTCGCGTGGTTATGATGCAATCGTTAGCCTACTTTTACAAAAGACTGCTTCTTCGGGGCCATAACATAAGCTACAAGATAATGTAGCATTTTATACATTGTCGTGTTTCTTTAGAAATAAATAATGGACAAATGGGGTCTTCAAACGCCTCAGATGTGAAGTTATTCGCTGTCAAAGTGACGCCAAAATGAATGGGAGTCAATGGAAATGCTAACACAAGTGAAGTTCTGCTACAAGATGGCGGCACCCGCGAGGCTTCAACTTCCGGTCAATGGATTACCCCCTTGGACACATGCACAAACACACCCGTCCCACCCACTTATAATAACAACAAAGTTACACCACTGGTGAAAAGGTTAAGTAGCCGCGCTGCCTCAGCAGAGGCTGGACCCAAACCTCGGTGCGTTGAAGCCAAGCTCCCTTCATCCTTAAAGAGAGCAAGGCGGGAGATGCTCAACTGTAAATCTCTTGCAGTGAAGATAGTTCGCTCCCTCGAAAGCTGACATTGCTTGCTCCATTCCCATTCAATACAGAATTTGTGCCCGTCATCCCCCGGAACATAGCAGTGCATGATGGAACACATCTCCTGAACTTATTTATTTTTTTAATCAAAACTTCTACTCTACAACACACAGAGACAGACACCTTTGACAAACAGTACAGACAAGCAGCTTCTGAAGACAAAGAAGCTAGTGACGGCGTGTTCAGGTGCCATTTTATAGATGTAGTCACACCCTAAATAATGCTCCCCACACTTTGAGAACCTCTGCCATAACTTCAATGATGCAGCATCAAAGTTCCCTTGAAAGAGAACCCAGGAATCCGTAACTATTTCAAGTGTGAAAAGCCCTATTGTGAGGTGAAAAAAGACAATAAGGCATCAAAAGATTGAGGGGGCCAATTTTAGACAATGTAGGAAACAATTATACTGTGCAATGATAGTAAACATTTCATTTGTTTTTAATATTCCCAAAAACTTCAGTATGCACACCTGTTTGCATGTCCTGTGATTAATAAATCAGACTCAATAAATTGTGGTACAGTTGTATTTTTTACCAATTAAATATAATGTTACAGTTAAATGTAAGTTTTATTGTATCTGGATAATTCCATGTGACTGGATAATTGGATAATTAAACAAAATACCATACAGTATTTTTATATTAGGTGTTTAAGTTGTGCCCAGAATATATATATATATATATATATATATATATATATATGATATGACCAATATTCCAATGAAAGGCTTTCAGTTTTAGGTAAATGGTGCACAACATAGAAAATATGGTTGTAATGTACTGTAGCTTTGTAATTGTAATTGTGTTGCAAATTCAATGAATACACAAACTTGGCATGTGATGTACTGATGCACAGTTAAATTAAGCATTCCACAAGGGACTCAGAGTTTAAGATGTACACACAGCAATTTACACCTGAAAATACTAATTAGTAGCTAAAAGCATAATCAAAAATAACTTCAAAATAACTGAAAAAAAATTCTTGAAATGACTTACAATTAACACGAATAGGAGGAGGAATGTGATGGTTTTTCTGAAAGAAGAAGTTTTTTTTTTTTTTTTTTTGCATATTAAAACTCATATGTGTTGTTTGCAGGTGGTAATGATAAAAACTGTAAAAACAAATGTGGCAATATACTCAATATGTAATGTGTGGGCAGATGAATTTAGACCGTGCATATATTAACAGATATGGAATGTCCTTGTAAATAACACAAAACCTAATTTTGCCATGTTTTTTTTTTTTTTTTTGCACTCTAAACAATGCTAGATTGTTTTAATCCAAATAAAATATGGACAACCCCAAATGTTGGGTTAAAAATGTAATTTCAAATTTTAACCCAACTTCAACTTTTACTTTCAACTGTACATTTTTTAATTGCATTTTTAACTTTTGGGTTTGTCCATATTTTACCCAAATTTGGGTTGAAACAAATCAGCATTTTTTAGAGTGTGTTTTTTACATTTAATTTATTTTAATTTTATTGTGAGAAAAAAAAAGTTAATTGTGCATCATGTCTGAGAACCACATCTATTGTTGCCACAAAGTCTATACAAAGTCTTTGCATTGGCAGTTTGGGGATTCAACCAGCAGGTGCCAACAAAATACATGTAATTAATCTCGAGTTAAGGGAACAGAAAATGATGTGCATTACAATTGCAATTACTACTGTCCATTATGATGCATGTGTTAGATC